CAAACATGCTAAAACAAATAAGTGATGAAATATTTTAAATGTAAAGATTTGTTCATCTTAAACAAATGTCAAGCTCGCTTGCCTGCGACTGAATACGTGCTAAACGTAAGCTTTACTTAAGTGAGGCTTAATGAGGCGTTTGCAAGACAACTATCACATTGATTGCACGTTTTAATGTTGATATTTAACTACATGGTAATATGAGCAAATTGATTAAACTCAGGGGCGGGGGGCCAACTTGGCAAAGGGGCCCCTGCGCTGACCCGGGGGGGGGGGCCGGTGCTAGCTTAAAGGGGCCCACGGGCGTAGTGCATGGGTGCAGAAATCCAGGCCATGGCCGGTGAAGCGGGGGGGGGGGGGTAGGGAGCGGCACCCGAGCGGAGGCTCATTGCGAGCTTTGAGGATGTTCCATGTCGAAAATGTACCGATAAGTGCATTTTAAAGCATTGATAATGCCAATATCTCACGCAAATGTGAATGGACTACCGCAAAAGTAAAGACGGCTAACTTTGCCATTTTCTGAGATCATCGTGCTAAAACTTTTGACAGTGGGTCATCGGTATCTGTTCACTATTCAATCACACGTGTTCCGTTTCATTTTTGTTTTTTAGGTACTTAAGCACAAATGTAAGTTTTGAAGACCATTACAGTAGCAAATGCTTCGAAAGATGGATAGTGGGCAAAATATCCTAAATTTGTCGTGCTGCATGGAAAGTAGTGTTGCTGAGAAAAGGGGGTTTGTTCCAGATTATTGTGGATGCAGAATACATTGTCTGCACCCTATGCAGAATTATTGTTGGTGCAACTGCGCCCGCTGCACCCATGGTTCCTACACTTATCGGCCCGTCCATAGCGCTTCAGCGATACCTATCGCCTAGAGGCTGATGTGGGCCTTCAGAGGCAAGTGCGTGACGTCCAAATGTAAGGCTTGAGCCCCCAGAGAACATAATAGGGCCATCAGTGGCCGGTGTAGAGACCTCATAGGCCAGTTTTGGGCCCCCTCAGAGGCTAGTGTGGGGCCTCAGGTGTCGGTATGAGGCACTTAAAGACCCTGAGTCCCCTGAGACTGATGGCCTGGGAAGCCCTTATATTCACACTAGGCAGAGGAGGCCCCTGAGACTGATGGTATGAGAGGCCCTCATATTCACACCAGTCAGAAGAGGCCCCCGAGGCTGATGGCTGTGAGGCCCTTCTGTTCATATAACTGGCCACTGGAGGCCCCTGAAACCGGTGGTCTGGGAGGGCCCTCTATCCACACTAGTCAGAAGAGGTCCCTGAGACCGATGCACACTGGGCGCATCGCCAGGTCTAGCACGACATGGGTAAAAAATCGAACTTTGTGGATGTGCAATGAAAACTATAGCAATTTGTTCAAAAGTGATCATTCTACATTGCCGTGGTCTTTGTTTTCCAACACAATTGCTATTTCATGGCGAAAACTCAGCTTAAACACGAACTTCGGAATCGTTTGGACCGAACTCGTCCCCCGCACTCTTCGACAACGTATCTTTGATCCACGAAAACAATCATAATTTGAAGAGGAATTCCACATTTATATACATCAAACGATAGCTCCGGGTTTGCAGAACACACATAACCACATGAAAATGGCGAACTCTTAATTGGTTATGATGTATTTGCACCGCAAAGATTTAAAGACGAAAATATAATTTCACATAATTGATGTCACACACAAATAGACTTTTAAAAAAAGTACCGCAAAGTACCGCTTCGAAAATCTCGCTACATGTCAATGAGTCATTGCACTACAAGATCCAACAGTCATTTCTTGCGACTTTTTGCGACTTTGGATGTATCAGCCAAACATCAACCCGCGCCGGACCGGTGCTCGGTGTCAAACGCGCCGGGCCGGGAGGTGTTGATTGAACACTCCCCTTCTAACTCGGCTCCTGGGCCACATAGCGACTATAGATATCAAGGGCCACATACCGACATCTCTGAGGGCCCCATACCGGCGTCTCCGAGGGTCCACATGTGGCGGGCATCCATCGGCGACTGAAGGTCCCACACTGTCGACTCCGAGAGCCCCATCTGCGTCTGGGAGCACCATGTCGTCTCTAAGAACCACAGCGGCTCCTCCGTACGAAAGATGGGCGTCTGCATGCCAAAGGGGAGCGGTTCTGAGGCAGTAGGGCACAGAGGCGGATCCAGCTCAGAGTTTTTTTTTTTGGGGGGGGAGGGGCAAACCATAACAATTTATCGATTCTTTCCATGCCTCGTCCATAGGCGTAATGTTAAAATTATGCCGTTTGGGAGGGGCAAATGCCCATTTTGCCCCCCCCCCCGGATCCGCCACTGGTAGGGCACCTACGTGCAATAGTGGGGCGCCTATGAAGCCCATATGGGCGCCTCAATGCGAAAGAGGGGCACCTCTGAGGCCTACATATATGGGCGTCCACATGCAATAGAGGTCTGCAGACTGCAATTGATCAATGCCATGGCGGTGCATTCATAAGAAACAGGGGCGCCGGCATGGCAAAGAGAGGCGCCTTCAAGTGTCCATAAAAGAGAGACGCCTATGATAAGCGCACATTGTATGCGACAACGGGGCGACTGTGGGACATATTAGGGATGCAGTTCTGATGACTATACATAGGGCGCTTATATGCCAAAGAGGGCGCCTATGAAGCTAATGGGGGCACCTGGGAAACGAGGAAGACATTTGTGTAAGGGTTTTCAGGGATCATGCGCTGTTTGCGGCAAATAGATTCTAAAAAAAATCGGAGGGGAATAAGTTTTAAAAAATGGTGCGGACTTTCCGCACTGTTCGCTTAAGTGGTTACGCCCCTGGGTACATCTGCCCGACCTCAGAAGCTAGATTTGGAGGTCATACTTGAAAGCAGCCAGCAGGACGAGGCAAAAGTTGGAGGCCCCTGAAAATAGGAGGCCCCCTGGAAAAGGAGGCTCCTTGACAGGGTGGCCCACCCACTTTTCATGACGTTCCTACGCCCGTGGTTGGAGACGATGCTGCACGAGTCGTTCAACGAGCTTTCCGATACAGCTGAGCAAGCTGATCGGTCTGTAGCTGCCGGTCTCGTTAGGCGGTTTCCCTTTCTTGGGAATGGCGACTATTTACGCCGCCCTCCATGACGCGGGAACCTCCCCGGTGCGCCAGCTCCAGTTCAGCACCTCCAGCAGATGGCGTTCCGCTGAAGGGCTGAGTTGGTGGAGCATGTCGATTGTCGTTGGTCACTTGATCGACCTGTGGCATTCAAACTTTGCGTCTATCGTAGACTGTATTTCTTCACCCTTCAGACATCTCAACGCGCACACCGACCCGTCCTCTCTCTCTCCCGCCCTGCTCTCCACTGCCCGCCCGTCTCCCAATGTCCAGCCGGGCCGCCCGATATACGGACCGGCGTGTCCCTGCTGCCGCGCACATGTGTGGCCATAGACCTCCATTTATGACCACTTATGACCCGACGCCGACCCTACGCGACAAGGCTAGAATACAAACTATGTGAACAAACAGAGAGACACATTCCCCCCTGTTCCTAAAGAACACATCTAACTACAGTTTAACTAATGGGGGATGGGAGCGCCGAAGAGTTGCGGCGCACGCCTGCAGCGCAAACCCCTTCTTAGCACGTCACTATAACTATCGATATTATCTACACTTTCCGCTGGCGCTCTACCTTCGTTCACACGGTCGTTTGACAATCCCTCAGTTTCTGTTTTTACAACTTTCACTGTATGGATCCGCTCCTCTGTTCCGGCACCGCCATCCGCCTCAGCTGCTGCTCGAGGGACCGGCTCGGTCTGCTCGGTCGGCGCGACAGCTGGGGTCAGCTCTGACGGCTCCACCGCCGCCGGCGCCTCAATGGCCAGCTGTCCAGGCACATGGGCGGTCGGAACCGGACAGGCGATCTCCTCTTCCTGCTCATCATCCGTCGAAGCAGCCATTGCGTCGTCACCGTTGTTGGCAAGACGATGACGAATGTTCCGCACGTGCCATGGGACTCCATCCACTTCAATCGTCTGAGCGGATACGACTTTGGTGACAGTGCCCTCCTTTGACACGGCGGTGCACCGATCGCCCCGTTTTCGGACCCACACCGCATCACCGGGCTGATACACACCAGGCTGGCCGGCCGTCTGAGGAGGAGCAGCTGTGTTTCCCTGTGACTGCACGCACAAGTCTCTGCCAGCCTGACGGTAGGCACCATGTATCGGGGCCGTGGTAATATCACGCCCGTCCTTGGGCGTGACATTATATCGGTGCACGGCTTCTGGTACGGTGCATCCCTGACGGGCGGCCATCACTTTGATGGTGCGGTGGTGGCGCTCGATGATGCCATTCCCACCAGGTTCATAGGCCGCGCGATACCTCAGCTCGACGTCCCACCGCACCGCGAACGCCTTCAGCTCGCGACCCTTGAATTCGGTCGCATTATCCATTAGAAGCTCGGCCGGTGCTCCTCGCTCCAAAAACAGAGCCTCGAGTTGTCTGACGATCTCGCTCCCGTCAGAGCGGCGGATCTCACGCCACATGGCGTATCGCGACGGCCCACAGTCAATCACGGTGAGATAGTGTTTTCCGCGGAAATGGGTTACGTCCATTGCCAGCCGCTCCCAGTTGCGCTCGACCGCCAAGGAACCATGCTTCCAGCGCGACGGGGCTGGGTCGATCGACGCACACACCTGGCACGATCTAACGATCTGACGAACGGCCGACTTCGTCACGCTCTTTCCCAGCTCTCGGCGCGCATACCACCACGTCCGCCGCACTCCCTGGTGTCCCACACTTTCATGCACCGCCATTATGTCCTCCGGTCGAGCTGTCCTAACGGCCGCCACCACACCTGTCGCCTGCTCGCTTCCGGTTCTGATCCACTCTTTTGGTACTCTCGTGAGCTCGTCTGCACGGTTGGCAGCCGACGGCACGAGCTCCACTGTCACGACGAGGTCGTACTCGCTGGAGAGCTGCTTGAAAACGGCCACCCGCCGCCGAACCAGCATTTCCGACTGTGCCTTCGTTCTCAGTCGGGCACGGCCTGTCGGTCAGCCAGCGCTGAACAGTGACAGAGTCTGTGCGGAGGATCACACGCTTGAATCCCCACGCCACCGCCATATTCATACCGTTCAGCGCGGCATCCAGCTCCGATAGGTTTATGTGCATGTCTGAGTCACTGTCAGATCGGAGCCACGCGGCGTCTTCGATAACCTCACCCGTGGTGGGGTCACTTAGCACTACGCCGCGGGCGATGGAGCTGGCATCAGTCCACACCGTCACCGAGTCTCCTGAGACGCACCACTGTCCTCGTGCCGGGTCACACTCTGCCAGCCGCCGGGCCACATCACTGACTTGTTTGCGCAGGTCATCGTCGGTGATCGGTGAGTCCCAATCTTTGGTGACCTTGTTCGCCGCCCTTTTCAGCCAGGCAGCGGCCGGCCGCAGCCACCCGGCGACGGGCACGTGTGAGGTTAGCTGACCCGCCCAGGCGAAGATTGACCGCCTGGTCAGCACCCCGGGTGGCTCAGCTGGTGTCACGCCGTCCCGAGACCATCTCAGTGTGCCGTCACCGCCAGACTGCCGTCTCACTCGGAGCCCCAGCATCCGGGCTCCGGCCTCATCCGCTACCCGTTCCGGTGGCTTACACGAGAGCCCGTATGCGGAAAAATGTTCGGCCACCCGCTCAGCCGAGATGAGCGTCTCGTTGACGAGCAGGTCGTCAGCGTACGGGAGCACTGCTTTTGCGATCTCTGGACTTTGATCCAAAACTTCCCGCACTACCGCTCGCATGATGCCGCTTGCAACGCTGAGACCAAATCCGACCCTTGTCAGACAATGTCGCTGGCCGTCCACGATTACCGTCTGAAACGGCCACAGCTCCTGGGCCACGTGCAGCTGCAGAAACGCCTTCTTCAGGTCGATGACGGCCACATCGTCGCCGTGTTGCCGCCACTTGCGGAGCTGGTCGCGGCACACATCAGCTTCAGCCGTATGAGCCACCAGGTTCTCATTCAGTTCACGGTAGTCGAGCACCGGCCTGACCTTGTCCTTGGCTTCCTGGGTGACCGCCATGAGCGGAATTAGGCCACGCACCGGCCCGTGTTCCTGCTCATTGTACGGTTGCAGCCACCCTTCCTCGATCCACAGCCGTAACTCTGCGTCGAACCGCTCCTGCGACTCTGCCGGCACGCGATATTGCGGCACAGTATTCTTGAGTTGTTTTGGCTCCTTTCCGTCGGCCCACTTCCACCAAACTGTCCACTTTCCGTCGCTGAACTTAGCCACAAAATCAGCCGTCTCGATCTGTCTGTCCACTGGACCACGCCCCTGAGACACCGCTGCCGACATACCGCTCGATTCTGCCTTTACACCGGCGCACCCCGAACGCTCCCCCGTCACCACTTTACCACCAAAACGCACCTCTCCACCACTAACAAACACACCACCCAGCGCCTCTAACCCGGTCATGCCCAACAGCACGTCAACACCCAACAACCTTTCCGCCACTACCACAGCACGGACCACCGCCCGCCGGCCTTGTGCCTCCAGCAGCACCTCTGCACTCCCGCAGCATCGCACGGCACTCCCATTCACCGCGGTCAAGTTTGTCTCACATCGATCCCATTTATCGACACAACCCGCGAACACCACGGTCTCCTCGCAGCCCGTGTCCACCAGCGCGTGACACGGTCGCCCGTCGAGCAGCATCTGGATTACCGGCGCTCTGCTGCCGGCTCGGTGGACGGCGGAGGAGGTGCTGGCGCTGATGCAGCTCCCCCGCCGCAGCCGTTTGGGCACATCCGGGCGATATGACCTGGGCGACCACATATCCAGCATCTGATCGGAGCCGGCCGGCGACTTGACCTTGAAATGTCACGTGATGGCCCACTCGCCGCCGCCCCCGCCGCCGCCGCCGCCGCCGCCGCTGCCGCCGCCGGTGGCGCTGCCGTGACTGCTGTCCTGGACAGTACGGCTCTCGCTCGGTCCAGGACGTACTCGAGAGTGAACTCGTCTCCGAGCCCGTCCCGAACCGCAGCTTGCGCAGCCTCCGGCAGCCCATTGACGAAGGTGATGGCGATAGCTCTCTCCGGCAGACCTCCCATCAACTCAGCGAGCTGCTGCAGCGCCGCTAAGTACACATCCGCCGTCTCTCCGGGATGAAGGCGACGCCGTGCCATTTCCGCCTGCGCTGTGAACGGGTCCATGGCGAAGGCCCTCAGCAGCTTAGCCTTCACGCTGAGCAGCTGATGACGAGTCGCTGCGGGCATTCGGGACCACACCGCGAAAGCACCGCCGCGCAGGCGAGTCGGCAACACAGCCATCAAGGACACTGATCGCAGATCGCACAGGAGAGCAGCCTGCTCCAGCCACTCCACTACGTTTCCAGTTCCGTCGAACTCCGGAATAGTCCTGGCGTCGAACGCCGGAGTCACCTCCATCACCGCTCTTCCCGCGGCGTCACTGGTCTCCTCCTCGACACTCGGCATCTTCTCACCACTTGTCAGAAAAACGCCGAAATAGCTTGTGGCATTCAAACTTTGCGTCTATCGTAGACTGTATTTCTTCACCCTTCAGACATCTCAACGCGCACACCGACCCGTCCTCTCTCTCTCCCGCCCTGCTCTCCACTGCCCGCCCGTCTCCCAATGTCCAGCCGGGCCGCCCGATATACGGACCGGCGTGTCCCTGCTGCCGCGCACATGTGTGGCCATAGACCTCCATTTATGACCACTTATGACCCGACGCCGACCCTACGCGACAAGGCTAGAATACAAACTATGTGAACAAACAGAGAGACACACGACCCCGGGGCTGCGTCCCTTCCGCAGTTTCCTGATGCCGAGCAGGAGCTCTCTGCGGGAGATAGGCGAGCAGAAGGCGTCACGACCGCCGTTGCAGCACGTCTGGCTCGTGGCTCGTCTAGCCTCGATCTTGATGGAATGATCTGAGGTCTTGTCCTTGGGCAGGCGGGACACCTGCGCGTAGGCCTGGCAAAAGAGTTCTGCCTTCTCTTTGTCGGTGACGGCTGGTCTCGTCGGTTGCGCAGGTTGTCCCTCCGTGCCCGGTCTTGAGATGGCTACGGCCGGCTTTGCTGGAGGACGCCGGCCGTCCATGATGCGGATCAGGTGCCACATGTCTCCGTCCGGCTTGAGTTCTGCCGCCTTTTGACGGAAGAAGGCGGTCTTCTCGTTGTCCACGACGTTATCGGCCGCTGCCCGCTCCTCCTGGTAGCGCAGGACGTCCGCGCGAGAGCGGCTACGGGATGCGGCTACCCGTGCCTCTTCCCGTCGATCGGTTGCGTCCTGGCAGGCTTGGTTCCAGAAGGGCGGGCGTCGACCTCGGCCGTTTCCGAAGGGGATGCTGGCCCTGGCCGCCCGCAGGATAGTGGCTGCTAGCCTGTTGGCGGCCTCGTTCAGGGAGGTTGGCTGGACCGACCAGGCGTTGATCAGCTGATCCCGCTCCTCCCGAAACTTGGGCCAGTCCGCACTCCGGTGGGAGAACCGGCCTCGGCCTTCCCGTCGTGGACGTTGCACAGACGAAGACAGTGTGACGAGGATCGGCAGATGGTCAGAGCCGATTCCTCGCTGCGTCACCCAGGTGACGTCTCTTGATCGCAGGAGGTCCCTGGAGGCCAGTGAGACGTCTGGCGCCGAGACTCCGCCGGTGCTGGGGTTTTGCCTGGTGCATCCGCCGTCATTGAGGATGGTCATGCCGTTGTCGACGGCCCAGTCCTCAATGGCCTCTCCGAGGGCTGTCTCGGGCTGGTAGGTGTCCCAGCTGAGGCTGTGTGCGTTGAGATCACCGCACACCACGGCAGGGTGCTCCAGTCTGATCCCATCCGGCTGGAATCCCTGCTCCTGGGTGCTCTGGCCTGTTGTCCAGCGCGCTGGAGGTGCGTAGATGTTGTAGACCGACAGGCCAAGAGTCTTTGACGCATGCACCGTCACCGAGACACAGTAGTTGTTGGGGTCTGGTCGGGTGGGGCGGTACAGAGAGGAGTTGACACTGTACGGGATATCGTCCCTCACCAGTGTCAGAACACCCCCTTGACCCTTGGGGGCGGACGCCGACCTCCTCCTCCTGCTCCTCGTCGCACTCGACCTTCACGACCGCCGGCCGTACCACCTCCACAGCCGCCTCCGACGCCGCCGACGCACCCGGAGTCACCGCCGTCGGCACCGTCAGGCCAGACTGCACCAGTCGGGCAACCACCGCTTCCACAATGACCTAAGATGACCTCAGGAGCATAAACAGGGGTCACGGACACCATTTTCATGTTCATTGTGTCTACACCACTTGTAATTCAGTGCTTGGGAATGTTTATAATGTCTTTCGTCCAAAAGAGGCGCATTTCAATTTTCTCCCATTGACTTATAATGGGGAGGTCGCAAAATTGACCTGACCTTGGGTCATCGATATCAAAATTCTGAGATAAACATTTTGTACATGCTATTGCTCTTAGCAATCGCTGAAAGTTTCAAAGCGATCGGTCACTCGGTGTAACTATGGCAGACATTAAAACTTTTTATGAGGTGAGGTCACTTCAAGTATCCTGGTGACCTGGCCTTGAATGACCTTGGTCTGAAATTTTCACAACATGTGTAGAATTGATGTATAATAAGGTGTACCATATTCGCGAAAACCACAAGGGGGGGGGGTTCAAACACCCTCCCCCCAGCAGGGCGCGGGCTAAACCAATGACATCATTTAGGTTAGCCAATTATTGCACACCTTTTTGGTTGGTAACACTCGCACTGCAAAATGCTAGCCAATAAGTGATCAAAATATGTACGAAGACATTGACAACAATATCAATCGAAATTACTCGCTTTATCAACTTAATAAAAAGGTACCTACTCAGCCAAACTAGCATATGTTCATGGCGTAGTATGGAAGTATTGTGGTAATTCGTCGATAACAATTTTTTTTTTGGGGGGGGGGGCAAAAAGATATGTTTGCCCCCCCCCCCCACCCTGGAAGAAAGGGGCGCCGTGCCCCCGCTGCCCCCCCCTCCCCGCTTCCGCCTCCACTGCTGACAGGTTCTGAAGTAGAAAGCATGCTTATCAGACACGGACACCTCGATGCGATGGATATTCTTTCCAAACCAAATCGTTTAGCCATGGATGATATAACACTCATTATTATCTCATCCATGGTTTAGCCATCAAAAAGCAATCGACCGAAATGGATAGATAACCCAACCGACACAAGAACAACCAAACACCTACCGATCGAAAATATCCCTTTTCGCGTTGCGGAGCACGCGGGTCACCCTAGTTAACCCTATTTTGGACGGGGAAGGCCATAAAGGCCCCCACCCTCAAGGTTTTCTTGTGCAATTGTCAAACGCCGCGAGACATTCATCTCATATTTGGTGACTTTTCCGAAATGCTCATTGCGCACATCTAAGAAAAAATGCCGGGTCAGGTCAGGTCAGGTAACAAGAGCGAGTTTGTTGACCCCACCTCAGAAAAATTTGCAATCACGTCAGAGCTTGCGTTTTTCACGGAGCTACTTTCTCTCATCAGGTCTTCAAAACAGTACCTACCAGTATGTGTCGTTTGTATATCTCAGAATTTTTTATATGTGACCTGAGGGCAGGTCAGGGTCGTGACCTTTACAACCTCCTGCCGAACGAGACTCGGCGCAACAGCAAACCGGAATCTTTCCAAGCCGAGGTGAAGACGATGCTCGCGGGCCGAGCGTAGGTAGATCCACCACCGTTTACTTTTACATCTGCGCTTTTACATGCTTTATTTTTTAGCTATTTTATTTTCAACCGTCACGCTTTTTATCTTTTGCTCATGTGAACATCGTGTATGTATGATTAGATATGTAGGTATGTATGACTCCCTACGCTCGTATGCTGCGCTATTTTATTATTTTAAAGTCATGTACATTGACACAGTGGCGGTAAAAGCCAACGTTTGTTGGATCCCACTACGATGCGCAAATAAATAAATAAATAAATAAATTGCAAGCCTGTTGAAAAATATTGAAATGCGACCTGCCTCAAGTAAACGAGTCAAAACCACCCAATTCTTTCAGAATTATGACAAATTATCTTATCTGTAATGATCCAGGTGCCATTTACTGACAGGGACACCGGAGAGGGTCATTTGAGGGCGAGATCATGCGAGATGATATCTACCATACATTAATGCTCACAATACTTTGTTACAATACTTACGATGAGACAAGCACTCTGCCATTACAGTACTAACTTCTGTTTCGAAAACCAACGTTACACACATTCGCTGCCAGCATAACATGCATTGTTTGACAGTAACAAAATACAATTGACATCTGAACCCCACTCGGACCGCCATCCACTCAAATTTTATAACCCTGACCGGTCAGGGGGCGAACGGAGGTCATCTCCTGGGCATTACACTCAGCCCTTGCAAAAAAAAATATCTCACCTCACAGTGATCCTCACAACAATACCACCGACTAGTGGATTTCAAGGTACTTGCATCAGCTCTCCTTGCCATTGCAGACCATCATCTCCTCAGGGTAATGTTGTTCGGGACATGACCGAAGATCTTTTTCGGAGTTTCATAAGTGCTACTGCAACAGCCCGGCACAAAACAGGACTTGTACGCTTTTTCCTGCACTTTGCCCTTGAGTATATCACAAAATAATTGTTTAGAATCCATCTTACGCATCTTTCACAGTCTCCCTTGCCACCGTAGATAAATTGCTGTTGCTGGTAAGTTAGGGCACGGTAGATAGAAATTAGCCGTTTCACGACGGGCTATCCGGCGAATGCACTTGATTTGACCAAATCTGCACCTAATTTCTTTTACAGCAAATATCTTCATTTTATGAATTTATTTCAGTGTTTTTATCGATGATGCTCTCTGATGATATGACAAAGCAGGCACATAAGCAATTACTGCAACCCTAGCTGATACCGCTCTGCTAAGAGACACACTGAACCTGATTTGACCAAATCTGCACCTAATCTGTACCAGATGTGCACCAAATGTGTACCAGATGGCCGTCGTGAAAACGGCCATTGCCTCGGCACTCAACGCCTTCAGTTATTTTTATGAAAAAGAACAAAGAAATTATTAATAATATAAGAGAAATATTAAAATTTTATTTGTAAATTGTGCCAAATACGTATTGGAAGGAGCTTTTGCCCTTCAGCGTCTTCCGATTCATCATGTTTTTCATTTGAAAATTCGACGATAGGCGTTATCACAAGTGTATTCGCGGCCATTGGGGCGACGTAAGAAAAGAAGAAAACAACTGGCCCCAAGAACTTTAAAGTATCAGTTAGCATGCACCTTTTCCTTGATCTGTAGAAAATTTACCATTAATTGCTAGAGAAAATTAAATTTAAAATCTTCCATTTATGCTTTTTTCATGGTTTGCACAATATGTTCTTTTACTAAGCTAGAAACACTACTTAGAAATAGTTCCCGGATCATCGTCAAGAACAATAGGGAAGGCTTGAAGTGAATACAATAATCTAAACGGTTTTGTAATCTATGTGAAGACACTTCTAAAATTGCCTGTAGAAATATTGAAGGCAAAAGTTCAACTTTTTCACAAGAAGGATGTCTATAAACCTACTCAACGTGTGACAACTCAGCCGGCATTTCGTCGCCTACAGCACAGCTTTCCCTAGTGACCGATAGAGGCGCTGCTATCGATGTCCGCCTGTGCCGCCTAACGAGGTACACAAAATGTTACCACGCGCTCAATGTCAAATGGGAACGTACACGGCAGACTCATCAATTTTCGACACTGAACCTTTCATCCGTGAATGCTTTAGCACAATTTAAAGCTAAAAACAGTGCGAATGGCAAAGTGAAACAAACAACCTCTTTCACATATAGATATAGCATGTAATCGCGGTGGTGCGCCAGATGCGCCGTTATTGTCAACCGCAGAAGGTGACTTGTGACGTAACAGAATCAAGAGCGTCTTTTTCAAGAACTTAAAAAAACATGTTTTCTATCTGTCTTCTCCCATTTCTCTCAGCATATTGATTTTATGAGGAAATTGTATGCACCATAAATTCTCCGAAAATAGTTTGGTCATTTCTATACATTCTTAAAAAATCGAGTTCCCATCCCCATTCATTGCGAGGGTCAATCAGTTCTTCTTCGGCTCCACGACAGAAATGAGCATTTAATGCAATCCTGAATCAGAAAAAATGGCTTACCTTCGGAGAAACTTGATTATAATGGCATCTGTGAGATTCATGAGTTGAGTACAGGTTCAAACTATAGAACAGGATAAACTGAATAAACAAATAAGAACGAATGCAATGCGGAGCGCCAGCAGGACCAGCCGACCGACTCTGCCTCAAATGAAGACAAAATCAAGATACCTATTAGAAACAGGTAGGTCGGATGTTTTGAGTAAAGCCCTGGTGACGTCACTGACATTTCTTATATGGAGAATTTCGCGTATAAAGAAAATATTTTACAAACGAAAATTCGTATTTCATAGGCAAAAAAAATTACAATCTTTCAATTTCATCATGAAACTTATATAATTTAACTAAAAAACTTGAAATCCTTTGAGTGTTTGTCCCAACCCCCTGCTATACATTCGGTCACGTGACTGCCATGAGAAACTCTGCGTTTTGCAATGTTATGACTTTTACAGAAGTGATAAATGTTACAAGTGTATTATTTATGATGTTTTAGTTGGCAATCGTGTAAATATATCCTTAAATGATATACAATCTGCTGAAAAGAAGTCACGTGATGCTACCCCAGTAAACATGCCGACGTCGGCCGACGTCGGGGTGACGTCGGCAACTCGGCATCAGCATGCCGACGTCGGCCCGACGTCGGTCCAACCTCGGCACGACGTCGGCTGGATGTCGTATATGCCCGCATGTTCCGACGTCCAGCCGAGGTCCAGCCGACGTCGGGCCGACGTCGGACCGAGATCAATTGCTGAGGTCGGGCCGACGTCGGGGCGACGTCGGACCGACATCGGCCG